TGCTACAGATGGACAGCTCTCAATCTGATTCCTTTATATACGCCGCTAGTGAACAATATCAATCGTCTTTCTAATATTATAAATTTCAATATACACACACAGTATACTGTTGACTAGGCATGCAACGGTAAAGGTTACAAAAATGAGCGGATAAAAGACAATTATAGAAGGTTCTGTACCGGTAACCGTAGGTATTCCATGCTTTTGTCACAAGACCACTCAGAGGAACTTACAAAAACTTATGGAATGCTTTTCTAACCGGGTTTTCTTTTAGCGGTAAACCGTTACTGTTGCATGCCTACTGTTGACTAGAACGATTGGGGTGGTTTGAACCCAATTTCTTGGTATACTTCGATTGTCAACAATATTAATCAGTTGTTTGATCTAATTAACCATCACTTTAACCTTTAAAATCAACGTGAAATGCCTCATTGGACAAGTTGAATCGGTTCCAACGCAATCCCTTAGTACGTAGATTTTGGTAAGAACTAAGATAAGAAATCTAAGAGGATATTTTTCTGAATATTATCTGTTTCCTTGAGGCATAGGCATTGCGCTCCGTGTTTTACTCGAGCTTTCTTTCAAGAATACGGAGCATTTCTATAACACACAGCAGAGACAGAATCGGGTCAATCGGAAATAACTCGAACCCGATCCGAAATTTTCCAGCTTGATCCGACCGACCTGCCCCCAAAACTTTCCTTATCTGTACTGCTCTATATGGACCCGAAAGTCAGGGAATGTTTTTCAATATTCAGTCAGAAAAAGCTCCGTTGCACCGCGGAAGCACGAACTTACAACAACCATAGGTTTGTGCTAAATTTTCTCGCTGAAGGAAACGTGATGAATGTATGGCCGAATCTCGGAAACTCAAAAGATCGACAGTGAAAACACAGAATGGGTAAGATCGAAAACTGGAATGTCGAAAACGTAAAACGTAGAAAACAAAAACGACGAAAGTGCAAAATGTCGAAAACTTTAATATAGAAAATAAAAATGACGAAATTGTAAAATGTAAATGCCGAAAACACAGAATGTCGAACAGGGATACCAACGAAAATGTCAGTTCTGGAAGCGACCTGGTATCTCCAAATATTTCTTGCTCATAGTTCTGCCGAGAGATCTGCAAATCTTCTGTACAAACTATCATTCTGTTTGTATGTAAAATCTTTTGCCGTTCTATTTGATGAGGTGACATCAATACGTACAGATCATAGTCCATTTAGTGCAATATATTTGTACAAAGTATTCGTTTACTATTGCCAAGTGGACGGATGCAAACAAAGCACTCTCTAAAATTCACATACGAGCTCTTGACTAATCATTCTATCTTGTTACAAAATATCTGCATGAGATTATGGTGCACCCAAAACTCCTTTCACCTTGCTGAATTTCGTTCATTCTGTCTATTGTCCCTCATTAGCGTTCATTTCGAAAACAGAGTTATTGATTAATAACTAATTGTTTAAATCGCACCAATACGTAGAGGAAAGAAACGAAGTGTATTCTATGTTGATGTATACACAAAATTAGAAATAAAATTATGTAGATACTTCTTTGATACGCATGATTTAATTTCGTAGCCTGATTTTACTTTCAATGATTCAAGTTATAATTTTTAGGGAATGTTGAGGAAAGTATAGGTAGCAAAGAGTTTTCGAGCAAGGTATTAGAATCTTATTTACTGTTCGAAATGTCTGTCATTCTTTTTAAAACAAAAAAAAACGCTTATATAGAGTCAAACCTTTTTTGTTTTATTAGTGTTTTATATTCAAAGTGTAAATATAAATAATTGCTCATCAAAAACCTAATATTTGGTTTCTGTATCCTCATCGAAGGAGCACACTCAGCATGCTTTTTTGCGCATTACAATAAAAATTCAACAACAAAGAGTTGAAAAGAGATCTGTTATTTTTCGATAAACGGATATTTGTTTTATGATAAAACGGAAAAGATTGCATGAAGTAACAGTGCTCATTAAGGAGAATGCACCCAGTAAACGGTTGGTAAATATTGAAGATAAAAACTGAATTGAAGCAAAGGAACGATTATGTTTATTTTTGTTGAGATTAGATCTATTCAGCAACAGGGATTATTAATCGAGATTACGATGATGTTCGCCGTTTTGATGCTTTTTACATATATTATAGACGTTTATAAAAATAACGCATTCGAACGTCTTCAGTTCACACGGGTAACTCCAGAGAACGCGTTAAAAATCTCAAGTAGTGGAAAGCCTTAAAATATGTCTAAAGGTTTTTAATGCCTTAAACGAGAAAAAAAAATTTTAATGACTCCGAAGGACCTGCGCGGGTCCAAAATTTCTTCCTGGGTGAATAGTGGATCAGTTATGTTAATGTATCTATCTCAAAGAATACGTACGTCTTTCTACTCTGGTCTTCGCTTTCATTGAGCACACTCCTTCTATTTTGTTTTTTATTCTGTTTCATACGATCATCAACAGCAACACGTACCTATTTAACCTTTTTCGACGCAGTTCAATGACTGATTCATATTATATGAACAATGTGTGCCTATATGTTGATACTACAGACGTCGTGTCAAAAAAAATCCTTTTCTTTCTTTGGAGATAATGAAATATTCTGGCGGTTTTTTTGACTGACTTTCAAGAACTTTTACCTCCATCATTAACCATGTAATATGAATAAATTGAACTGCGTAGAAAAAGAATAGATAGATATATGTTGCTGTTGATGATCGTATGCAAGAGAATGACGGAGAAGGCCACAGTAGAAAGTATCGCGACACAGACAAAACAAACTTTGCTGAAACATTACTGAAATATATAAGCCTTTTTCATTCATCACGTGAAATGCGTTCTTTTACACGTGACAGAAGCAGAAATCTTTGTTTCTTATGTCTTTTCGTTTCTGCGCACGATGATTAAAATTTTATTCTCTATTCTATATTTTTTCTGTGTAAAGCACAGGAACGAAAGAAACAAAGACGTACAATGTGAATGTAGTCTAACATTGCTTATTTGCTATGGCTCTAATTTAAAGATATATACCTCATCATCATTTCAGGCATCAAGAAAGTAAGAAAATCTGTGCTCCCGTACTATCTCCACGTATCTATTATCACCGGGTTACACCGAACATTTTTTCACATACAGAGTGACGTGAAAAATGTGAAAAATCTTTTGAAAATCTCGGACCAGTTTTGATCCAGATCGAAAGTGTGAAGAGCTCTATCAAAGTGTGTGACACTTCGCTTGTACGCTTGGGGTAAACAGAGACATTCCATTGAAATTCATGTAGTTTTAATGTATAATTGCTGGTTAATTAAGCTTAGGATATAATCAGTTCAAAAATACCGCATTTTATAGCCCGGACATTCCTCTCCCTACCATACAGTGTTGAGCTGATTATTATTTAGACTCATTAAGCTAATTAGCATATAATCAACAGAACTAGAAACTCTCTGGTTTCTTTTTTTACACATTTGAGGTAAACAGAGACATGTGTAATTTTTACATGAGTGTATAGAAAAATGTTCGGTCTACCACCCTGTTTAATAGCAAGTTTTTCCGATCCAAAACCGCCAGGAAACACCAAACAAGGAACGAAAATTTAAAACAGTCTCTCTAATTACCCCGAAGTGTCATGAAACATTCAAAAATCATTCTAAACTCACTCTAACATAAAGTACTAAAAAACGGCCTGAAAAGGGTCCGTTAACGGCCCGTTTACGGTTTGAAGTATCAAATATGTATGTGTCATGAAACATCGAAAAATCATTCCAAAATTGCTCTAGTATAAGGTGCTGAAAAACGACCTAAATATGGGCCGGTAATTGGCAGTTAATAGAATCTAGTATATGTGTTTTTTGTTTTCCTCCAGCATGTAGATGCAGCGTAATAAACTCGATGTAAAGTACTACGTAAGCTTGCATGCTTGAATAGCACTTTGATAATGTTAGTTTCGATCCAACATGGCCATATAGTTGCAGTGACAGACTGGCAAACGTAAGTTCTGATATTCGAATCTCGATATTTTCAGGGAAGCAGAAAAAAATAAAAGTGTTGTTAGGTGATGTGTATAATGTAGTGCCTAGACTAGGTCGATTAGTCGGAAAGGGTTGATTCGACGGATAAGTCAGAAAAACATTTTTTAAATTTTTTTAATATAGTAGCGCAAGTCGAAAAAACGGTTTGTTAACTTTCTCAAAACGATAAAAAAACGGCCAGTAAATGGTAAGAAAACGTTTACAAAATGTATCGTAAACAGTGAAAAAACGATCTATTTAAGACCCTAAAACGTTACGAGTTTTAGGTTCTAAAAACGGTCCGTTTTTAGGCACTTCAACGGTGCCGTTTTCTTGGACCTGGGTGGCCAAAAATTAAAAATATATAGATACGCTCAGTACAAAATCAACAAATAATAATGGCATGTTTGACCAACAATGATTCATTTAATTTCAAATACGTAGTCTTATCTCATAAAAAATCATCTGCTCTGCACTATGAAAACAAAATTATCATGATATACATCATACATATTTATGTCTCACAAAAAACAAACGAACAGTTAATAATGATTAATTGTATTCTTTTTACCGATCTACTGTCCGATAACTTACGCCAACATCAACTTGAAGATGATCATTGGAATTACTTGCATGATTTGATGCTTGATAAAATGTATGATGGTCTTCACGTTCTAAAACAATTAATGTATCATTAGTATTAAAAGATGAATCAAAAGAGCACACTAATATTGAAAATTAATTTTTTCAGAGATGTATTTATTTCACAATATCTTCAACAACAGAAAACATCATTATTAGACACATTAAATAAGTGTGAAATACAGGATTTTCTATTCTATTATTTAGATCAAGTACATCATATATTAGAAAGTCGAATTGAACATTTATTTACAAATATATCAGAATTGCTACGTGTATTCATTAACGAAGTCTATTCCTTTCAAAAGAAATGAAAATTTCGACATGTACAAACTTATTAATATCAGAGTTTATCTCCATCCTGAACGTTCAGCATTTGGAAATAACCGTTTTATCCGTTTATCATTTAAAGCATCACGTTCGAATGAACGTCTGTCAATACAGACAAGTCTGATACGATTACATATTGATTGTAATTGTTCAAACGAAGAGTCTTGTGATTTTCTCAATACATCTAACACCAAACTCTGCAGTATATATAATTTTAGAATATTCGGTGTCATTAACAATAGTCGTCTGAAATGTTTATATTTTAATTCCTCGACCAAAAATATCACCGAGACGATATTCTCCATAATCAATTCATTATTCAATAAATTATCACTTAAACAACGAATAGGAGCTATAATAAACATTAGTTCTTGTGCTCTTGGAAATGACTTTTGAAAAATCTGGAATAATTCTAATGTATACGGAACTGTATCATTTAAAGTGATTACTTTCGTTCTGTTTTGTTTACTGTGTAATAAAATATTAACATTTGATCGATAATCAACTAATTCATTTGAAACATGAGTAAATCTATCGAACATATAGGGTAACGAAAATACACAATAATATTGATTACGTACCGGTTGATTAAAACATAAAATCGAATGATTATTATCAATCCAATAAGACGATTTGTATGTTTGGATATAATCATCTATGTTCAATGACTTATCGACAACTCGAATACGAAAACACATATGAAATACT